TAATATTTGAGCGGAAAAAATCTGAACTAAAATTTATCCCAAAAACGGTTGAGACTTCGGATAAATTGAGTTTTATGTCAATTTTTGTTCATATTGAGGTTAGTTGTCATTTGTGTTTATTTTAATGTAAAACCGCTAAAGTGATAAGTTGATGTCTTAATGAAGCTTACCTAGGATATATCGGTGATTAGCAATTATTGATTATTACGAAAGCCATGTTTTGCTTAGATGAACGACCATTTAGCGTGATGAGGTGTAATAATAAAATTGGAATAACTGTTTTTTTTCACTTCTACACTGACATTCATTTATTAACATGATGTCTTCTTTCGAAAGGTGCATACACAAGAATATAAAGCATTTTATATGGCTAGTTATTTTGCTTTAGTTTGTTCGACACAGCATGATTTTATGTGGAAAATTTGGAAAATACACGATTTTTATTAGTCGATGTCGAAAAGCATCCACATCAATGGATTTAATTCTTTTCTTTTACTGAAACAAACTCTATTCACTCCTTTGAATCGAAAATGAAGTCGTCACCATTGTGACAGATAGAAATTTTCATTCTTTTCACATTGAAAAGTTCATTCATTATGACGCCGTTATTTGATTCTTGTTTTGATACGAAATATTTAAAGCGCGTTTTTTCTCAAAGTTAATTCCATTTAAAATGATCCAAACAGCTTCATCTTTACGCAATGTGAAAGAATTTCGAAGATATTGCGACTGACAAAAAACCGGATTTCCATATAAATTCGATGTAGACTTTCACGATGTATTGAATTTTTTTTTAACAAAATCAGTTAAATGATTGGATAATTACGAGGAGGAAGAGGCGTTCACGAACAAAACGAAAAAAATAACAACAACAAGTTAACAACAATAGTGATTTTCACGTATTGTTTTGATCACTTTGATCTGTCCCTTTAGTTCTCTACACTCTCTTTCTATTCTTCGGTATCTTCATCTGGGCATCATTCTTTTGTAAACGAGTTTGTTATTACATATTTACTATTAATTCTCACTTCATTTTATCACAACAACTCAATTTGCTGCGATGAAGTCGACAACAGCACGAATATATAATATATGAAGACATTAAGTGTAACAGAAACAAGATCACGTTGATTTTAAATGCATGGCATCGCGTATATCACGATAATCGGAATCGTGTGTACACAAAAATTATTCTCAACTTTTGATCAGCTCCATCAAATCAGTTATGGTCCATTCTACATTAGAATTGATTGTTTCGTCAATCTATCTCTGTTAAACTTGAGCCATTTTCATTGTCTGTGTCTGCCTGACAGTGTCTATTCAATCGAATTTTAATTTAACTCCATTGAATATTCTTGTTCGTTTCCCATGATTTGTGTGCTGGGCTATGTCGAATTAATTTTTTGTTATTGCGGACGGTTTTCATAAGTCCACCGCAATTAACCAGTAGCCAACCAAAAAGTGTTTTTGTTATTATTTTCATAGTCATTTTATATCACTATAAGCAGTCTGTATGCCAACAGATCGTATTGCTATATAAAAAAAAGTGTAGAGAGAGGGAGAAATAGAAGAAATTATTGAATGTAAATGGTCGTTTTTTCTGGCAAAACCCGAATGCTAGCGCGAATGGCAACCTATTCAAATTCATTAATTTCGTTGAAGCTTCTTTTGCACAGTTGGAATTCCGTGCAAATGAATGAACCGTTAAAGATCGTGTTTTACTTTTCCGCACACCTAGTGTAGGAAAGGTATTGTATTAGGCTAAAAAATTAAAGTCACCCCAAAACATGTTTTCTATGCATATTCCATGTAGAAAACACGATTGGAGATGATTTTGGTGCATATTAATGTGCGTCGCTGTGTGTGATGTGTCCTGTGTCCTGTGTCCTGTGACTCCTTTTTTTGTTACCGCAATAAGTCTTCTTCCAAAAACTCAATTCAAATTCTGACTTTGCAGGAGTCGTGCTTATTAGTTTTTGAGCAATATCGGTTGACCGGTGTAATTTTTTTTGGTCCGAATGGAGTACCCCCATCCATACATTTTTTGACCATTTTTCAAACATTTTGGTGACACGATGGTTTCGTGCTCAGACATGAAATTCAAAATCTAACTTTACGGGATGATTAGGCACTACGAGGAATAGATCTGGTCAAATTTTTAACGACATTGATTGATCGGTGTAAAACTTATGTGAAAAATGCCTTAAAATGATATTATTTCAATTTGAACGCTGAAAGAATGTGTAGTGGGGAGTTTTTTGGCACAAGAAACCCAAATCTGATGTTAGTTTTAAGATGCAATCAATTTTTCACAGACTTTTTGTACAAAAATCCACACAAAATTTCATTTTTGTATAAAAGACATGCCTTTGTGGTACCGTAATGATGTGAAACTTTGAACAGGCTATTTTTTGATTGAAATTCCTTTAAACTTGGTGTGATTATTTATTTTGATAAGAAAATAATATTCACAAGTTTTCACGGTGATTTAAGTTACTGTAACCATACATAGACCATAATTTCAGTTTATTCCCAAAATTTCGGTTCCATGCGGAAAAGTTAGCTTGCGCACGTAAGCCTCTTTATTTTATTTGATATCAGTGGCTCACTGTAGATCTACAGGTCGACCGTTTGAATGAGATTTTCAATAAAAATCCAATTATTGCCCGTTTTTTCCGTTCAATGTACAACAGGCTATTTTCTCCAGAATTAAAAAGAAAACAATCAGAATCATGACATTTTTACAAACATCAATCAATCTCTGTAATATCCAATAAAATGTTTTATAAACATTCCTCCCAATTAATAAAACATATTGGATGTTTTCGAATTATCTATTATCCATTTAAAATTAATCCGGCAACTTAAGAGATAACAATTACAATATTTAAAATACGCGTTAAAAACCTTGTTAGGCCACGACTAATCACTGTGAGAAAACTACTCGCATTCATTACATGACGGCCTAAGAAGAAAACAATAACATACAGAATATTCTGCAAAAAGTCGAATACATATTTATGTGAGCAAAAACCAAATATACAAACAGACAGCGCAAAAGTAAAACAGCCTACTTACATGTGTTTCTTATGTAAGTAGGCTGTTTTACCTTATGATGTCATATAAATAATAAATATCAATAGTAATCGTGACAAAGTTTCTCTTATTCGAATGCTGGGTGTGATTAAGAAAATTTTGAGTTATACCCATGGGTATTGTGTTTGTACAAAACCAAATATTAATTAAATGTGAAAAGCCATGATTTGGCCAAACTTGTTATTTTAATGAAAAAGCTACCGTTATTATATAAGAAAACAAAACAAAACTGCTAGCTAGAATTGTTATTCTCAACCTGTTCAGCACAAAAGAGTGACAAAAAAAAACTAAATTAAACATCGTTTGATACGACCCCACTTTCATGAGTGTCGAAAAAAGCGAATCGAAAACAATAAGTGTCTCTATAATTTCCATTAAAATCCAATAAATTCTATCGAATTTAAGAATTCTAATTAATTTATTAATAAAAATTTTCAAGAACACCAAATTTTTATTGTATATGAAAAAAAACTCATATGCTTGTGTAATATTTATAAAATGCCGAATATCGATACATACACAAATGCTTAGAAAATATGTAAATTAAATTATTATTTTCTTATTTATATCCGAAGCTCAGACACAATCATTCGACATGGTGTGAAAAGACACATAAATACGAAAAAGATAAAAAGCCGTTAAATTGACTCAACACACAAAAAATGCGATTAAAATAACAAATAATATTGTATGATGATATACATTGGATCGATGGTTTATAATTCACAGCTTCTTTATTTGTATGTGAAATGGATTATTATTATATGGCGCTGGAATTTGTTTTGCTCCTTTTGTTTCGAATTTGATTGCTTGTGATTAGTATTTGGATAGATGGGAACACATATAGCCATCAAAGAGAATTTGTAGTGCAAAAGGTATAGAATTAAACCAATAACCCATTTTCATAAGTCAATGCATTTGACAGATGAATTGTTCCACTGCATTCATTTGCAAATGACTCGACCAGGGACCATATCGTTTAATGAGAAGATAAAAGCCAACCGAACCAATTGAAAAAACAATTGAACGAGATGTCAAAGGAAGACAGGAATGTGACGCATTGCACAGCATGCATTCACAAAAACCAATCCGTTACCCTCTTGAGATTTTTATAACCGAGAATTTATATGTTAACTATTGTTCATCTAATGTTTATTACACTTCAAAAAAATCCATTCGATACATTTTCTGATGAATAAAGTCAAGCCACCTTTAAGAATTTTTTGTTTTATAAAATATCATTTTTTTTTTTTTTGTTACATTAAAATTCTATGAAATTAATGATGATGATATTCAATTAGATAAAAATGGTATTAGATGACTGTTTCTTTAGTGAACATTTTTTTAACCAAATTTAAAGTTTGATATCGATGTAACTTTTGTTTAGCTTTTTTCTTCCTCTGGAAAAATATTTTTTTATTCATTCACGTGATGGCGCTATAGTCACGAAGTAAGTAGTCTAGATATAAGAAAACTATTGTTAATTTCAATAAATTAAGAGAAAGTTATCTTAACTTATTTATTTAGTCAGTAAATTTGTAGACGAAGCTTATAATATATCTATTTAATTTTTTGTTTAAATAAAAAATGTCAAATTGCAGAAATATGGTTAATGAGAAACTGAACATTTGAATTACACTGAGAAGAGGCCTTAATCATATTGAACTGTCAAATATGTTACCAACGTGAAAATTCAGAACCAACAAAACTTCAGAACGTTTCCTTCATATTCAAATAAATATTAAAAAAAAAAAATTATTGTAAAATCTGTATTTGAAATTATGATACATTTTAAATACAAAAATATAATTTTTGAAACATTGAGTGTTATTTTTCTTCGCAAAATTCTTCGAAAACCGGTAAAAATGTTGTATGTAGACTTTGTCCATCAATCGTGTGTTGCCAACCGAAATTGATGAAAAATCACATTTTTTGACATTCGAAAATCATCATGGTGAACCTTCTTTCAATTCATCGCTTTCGACTTCCTTTTCCGCGAATGTGATTGATCAGATAGAATCATGCCGGTGGGTTCTCCGATTTTTTTTTTATTTTTTTACATTAAATAATCATAAATTCTCACCCAAATATATGAAAATTATTGTGAAATTATTGTTCGTTGTGTTGACTATCGAAAATTGGATAATTTTGTGCAATTTTTAGGCAAAATTTAATATTTAAATGGTGCACGCATCGGTGATACACATGGCAAATCATGTCATTTCATGTATCGTTGTGTAGTGTATGTTTATTGAACCAACAAAAGTGTAATAAAACACAAACATTATTTCGTGCACAGTTTTTGCACGAATTCATGTTAAATATTTTAGCACAATTTTTTCCCTGGATTTATTTGCGTTGAAAATGATTCCTTGAAAATGTTTTTAGAAAAACTAATGAAATGTTAAAATAAGCGACAGAACAATAATTTCACAACAATTTCAATAGACATAACATAACCTCAATATCAAACATTTTACCTAATTTTCACATGCCAATACGCAAACCCTAGTGAATAAAAAAAAAACATTAAATTAGTTATTGTAACTTTTGTACAACTCATGTATATTTGTTATTATCTTTTAAATTTTAAATATGAAATAATAATGACATCAACGTGCCCTTAAATATAGCTATGATTTTCCATGCTTGTTTAGGGTGGTAAAAATGTGGTTGTTGTTGGCATGGTGTAAAAATGTTTTGAATCAATTACAAATTTACTACAATTTTTACCCATTTTTTTATCGATTTTTCTCTTGCATTTATAGCTCGCTAAAGATTTATTGCACCCGTTGCCAGCTGAAGAAAAGCGTAAGCACAAACTTAAACGTTTGGTGCAACATCCAAACTCATACTTTATGGATGTCAAATGCCCAGGATGCTACAAAATTACAACAGTTTTTAGCCACGCTCAAGGTGTTGTTGTTTGTGCTGGTTGTTCAACAATCTTGTGCCAACCAACTGGAGGACGTGCCAAGCTGACCGAAGGTATGTATTGCAATCCACAATAATTATTTTGTTTTCAGTAAAATATGGACTCATAAAATATGTGTGTTTTTATTGTTTGTTTTATCTCTTTCAGGATGTTCGTTCAGACGGAAGCCACACTAAGCACGAGTCTTTCCTAAGTAAAACGATTTAAGAATCAACTGGATTTCAATAAGTTATTTCCAAGAACCCGTGTAAAACCATAATCGTTTTTCAGAAAAACCAACAACATCCCAAAACGAAATAAAATGAAAATCAACAGTTAAACAAAAAAAAATACTTGTGTTTTCTTAAACAACAAAATAAAAAGTTGTGCTGAAAAAGTAGTGAAAGTCTTGGGTGCAAATTAAAAGATCATTCCGATTCGAACAATAAATTATATAGTTTTTTTAAATTTATTTCATGAATAACAACTCTATTGAAAATATCGAGAGGAGAGTATGTTTTTATTCAGACATTACTCAGCCATAAGCGCTGAATAACATACTCTCTTCTCGATATATTTAATAGAACTGAAAAATAGTAACAATTCCTGTCTAGTATATATTAAAGAGAATATCATCTAAAGAATCTTAGCGTATGGAATGACTTTTGTTATTTCTTTTCGTTAGTATTGAAATGTTTGTTCACTGCGCTAATTTCGCTGGGGCTGAATTGAAGTACGGCACTAATCGCATTTACTTTATGACGTTGACCATCTTTATCATTCGACAGTAAAAAGCTTAAAAACACATTTTTTAAATATTCCAGATTGGCACCCTCACGTGTTTTGCATCGTTCGAGACGGTCCACGTTCTCTTCCAGATTGGCTATTTTTTCATAAAAAAGTTGCTGAGAAGCAGCTTTGTCCTGTAGAGCCTGACGAAGTGTTTGCTCTGCTAAATGTTTGGCCTTACGAAGTGATGTTATTTCAACCTCTTTTCTCGACAACTCATGAACATAATGCAGCATTGGTATTGGTTCTTTTGACGTTGACACATTGCCACTTAAAACTAATACCGTTTGATTGACATCATCATTTGAACCGTGTAATGAGTCACTTAAGCTGGCAAGTGTTTTTTCTGAATTTCTGGGCTTTTCATCTTTTTCACTATCTGTCGCTTCACTGCGTTTACGCATTGGCTTCGGCATCATGAAAACATCAAAAGATGTTTTTAACCCAGTAATTTCATTCTCTTTTTCCTCAAGTAATGCCAATGAACGCTCACGTTGTTTCTGCAGCTGGCCTTCCAATTCAGCTTGTTTTGCTCGATACTCAGCTTCAGTATTTGCTAATACATCTTTCCATCGATTTCGTTCAGTGCGTAATTCATTTTTATGCTCTTGGCTCTTATTTCGCAATTCAGTTTCCTGTTCATCTAAATTACGATTTAATACTTCAATTTTTGTTTGCAAAGTTTTTATATTTGTTTTATGTGTTTCAATTTGCTTTTTCATCTGTTGAATTTCCGTATGCAGATTAGTATTCTCTTTAAGTAATGTTTCATGACGTTCAGAGTGTTCACAATTACATAGTGCATTGGATGATGATTTTCCAGCAGCCGTATCAAATGTACTGTATAGCTTAGTGAAAATGTCAACTGGTTTTTCAAGCTTCGAATTTTCAATTAACAATACATTGTGCAATAGTAAAATTTCGTTTATCATTTCATTTATATCCCAGTTTTTATATTTGGACATCGTTGCGGTTGAGTCTTTTCTTTCATTTAATCGATCTTCAATTACATTTGAATTACTCAATTGAGCAATTCTCTCTTTAAACTTGGTTATGTTATCTTGATCTGTTTGCCTGAGTCGATCATAAAGACCCACCGTTGCCGAGAGTTCAGCCAATCGAGTTTCCAAACTGGCCACTCGTTCCTCGTGCATTGCCGCTAATGTTTTATTTCGTTCTTCGGCCAAAATAGCACGGTGTTGCTCTGACTGAATTGCTGCAGTGTGTTGTTGTTTCAAATACATCATCTCGGCTTGTAATTTCTTCAAAATTCCCTCGGATGGAATATCATTTTTTGTTGCATTATTCAATTCGCGCTCATTTTCTTTCAATTTGCGTTTCGTTTGTTCCAGTTCAGCGGTAATTTCACTCAGACGAGCATCTTCGCTGGTTTTTGAGAAGCGATTTTTCAAATCGTTCAATTGCATCTGTATTGCATCTTTCACTTGTCTTTCATCGGCTGTAATTTTCTGTAACTCACGTATCATCGCCAACTGATTGTTACTTTCCTTCTCCCATTCGTGACGTTCTATAATCAATTTGCTTTTTACCTAAAGGGAAAATCACAAAAGAAAAGAAATAATCAAAATAATGGAAACAGATAATGAAAATTAAATTGCAAAATAAAGTGAATTTATATATGAATGACCGAGAATTAATGTGATACTTTCAATAAACTCTCAAGACAAGTCTCACATTGAGAATGAGCCAATCATATAGTTTAAGAACAAAGCTATGGCCACATATTTGCTTTTTACCTTTTCCACTTCCAGCTTTATCTGTGCAGCAGATCCATTTAATTTCTCTTGTAGCTCTGATATAGTTTGATCTTTAACTTTCAAATCATTTCGAAGTGTCTTTTTATCTGCTTGAAATGAAGCTTCCATTTTTGATTTCTCTGCAGAAAGTGTGGCCAGCGAATTCATAAGGGTGGAAATTTGCATTCGTAGTTGGTCAACGTTATCGTTGCTACTGTTTAAAGCATCAGTTAAAGTAGCCATTGTACTTTCATTCGGATCGTCGGACGAATCTATCTTTTTGGATGTAATTGATGCTAAACTTGCCTCCAATGCTGCTTTTTCCTTCAATAAACTTTTATAAGCGCTAACAACATCTAAAAATACACAACATATTGTTTGAGTCGATTGAACATTGTTCAATCAAACATTTTCTATGTTTACCTTTCAACCGAGTTTCATATCGTGTCAGCTGTTTTTTCTGATTCTCCACCATCAATTCCAATTCTTTCTGTGATTTCGACATCTTTCTTCGCACAATATTAAATGTTGTACAAATTGAAAATGTCTTCAATGTTTGTCTCTGTGTCGAATGGTCAATACAATTATTTTAATTTAATTTTAATGTAATATGACGATCGAAATTCATTGCCACCAGTCATCAACAGCTTTGTTTGTATTCGTTTTGTCATCAATCGTAAAGGCCTCTGAACTGTCACATCACAAGCCTATTCCGAATTGAAAAGGCTCAAGGTTGCCAAATTGAATTCCCAATATACAATTGATTTGATTAGACAACAGAAGACTTTAGAAAATTATGATAATAAAAATGATATGTTCTTTCATAGAGAGTTTTCAAATTTGGTAAATTTTTATTAGTCCCTATTACATAAACATGAGATTTAATATTTTTTCGAAAAAAAAAAACATCAAAATTAATATGAGTGTTCTCGTATTCTATCTATATACCAAACGGTTTATAAATAAAGTTGACAACGTATAAATATGAAAAGTTTTGATATTGTATATCGTAAAAAGGTTATTGATTAAATTAGAACAGAATGTTTACATTCATAAATCATAAATAGGATATATATGGTTTCAATTGTTATCACTTTAAAAGAGAAACACATACGATATACGGTATCATTATCTATTCAAGAGAAACGAAGAGTGCAGGAGGATTAAAGTGCAGTTATATCGACTGCAGAGATCTTATCAAATAATAATATTCATCCAATCATTTTATGATATATTTTCGAACAAAATTCCACTTCATTCTCATTTTTCTTTCTTCTCTCTTGTTCATCAACATGGATCTCATTCTATGGCTGTCGGTGAGATCATTTTCACTAAATTTAGTTTACATTGTTGAGACTACCAAAATGAACAATAAAATCGATTCACGGATCATTTGATTCATTTTTCAAGCCACGATCCAGTCACAGAGTTTGGTGATTTCAGCTGTAAAATAAGTTGAATGAAAACAAATATATTATTTCTCTAGATTAAATCATATCATATAATAAGTATTGTGAAAAGTCACAAGCATACCTTAACATTGAACTGCTTAATTGTTCCCTCCAAAGCAACGGCATTTCCCGAGAAATAAGCAGAAACAGCATTATGTAAAAGCACTAGTTGCTTATGCATCACTTTAATCTGAAATACAATGAAAATCTAACCGTTTAGTATCGTTTATACTTCGACAGTCATTCAATTTTAAATACTAACTCGGTTTTCATCAAGAAATTGCATTTTAATGGCAACGTCCGCACGTAATTTCTCATAACTTTCTTTATGTTTGGTGTAACTTTTCTGAGTTTCATCGCCATTTTCAGCTGGTGATTCACCCTTACTGCTTTCTAATAAGTCCATTCGATATGCATCGTATTCAATCCTGTTTTATAAGCAATTAATCATTTGATTAATCTTCACTATAAATGTAAGCTAATTTTGGTCAGAAACTAAGTTTTGAATAGGTCAAATAGTCACCTCGCTACTTCATACTGTCTTATTGTGATTAGAGTATCTTCAATGGTTTTATTACACAATGTGCTAACGGATGATACGAAAAAGTTCAAGGCATTCAGCAATAGTTCACCATTTTTGGTAAGACTGCGTTGTGTTTCGGAATTGTAGAGAAATTCTTGTTGCAATTCAGGGCTTTTTTGTGCCAAATCAGAAAAAGCTTCTGATAAACAATGTTGAGTTTGCACAACATGATGGAAATGTGAACTGAGTGCTCGAGTCAAACGTAAAATTTGTAGATATTTTCGTTGGGTTTCTCGTAATTGTTCGATTTGTGCTTCCAATTCTGAATCAACGGTACGCGTTGATTTACCTAAGAAAGAAAACAAAATAATCAACAAATAATGTAATTAAAATAAAAATGAAATTGCAGAAAAAACTTCATTTTACCCAATTTCTCGAGCATGAGCTGACGCGTACATTTGTACGTCGATATGCTCCAATTTTTCAAAGTGTCAATTTTTGAAACGCTATTCTTCAAAAATGTCCCGGAGTCACCATTGAACGATGGACTGAGCGGTGTTGGTGTAGTTGGTGCTAATCATTAATGATGTCATAGTTTTTTGTAATGACATTTTATTTGTTGAATTTTGAAAGATATTTAAATATTTACCGGAATTCGTTCGAATGTGTAAACTACTTGGATGCTTGACGCGTCCCTCGATACCGGACTGGATGGCACTGTTACTTTCATTCATGGGCGGTGTATCTTTGAGCATTTCATGAATACTGCGTTCGGTGTGACCAGATGAATGTGCCATTGTTTTTTAAACTTCTGTCGCTTTAACTATGTTGTAGAGAACTTGCTATTTGGATTTAAATCAAATGAATCAAAACATTGGAATTAATATTACTGTACTGTTTCCCTCTTACGATTTATTATGGACATGAAATATCTGAGCAAAAGTGATTCACTTTTATTTGAATACATGTATCGTTTGGAATACAATTAAAAACAGGAGTAATCTCTTATCGATTAATTCAGATCGCTTAATTTGTTTGGTTTTCTAGATAATTTAAGGCGGCGATAGCATAACTCTTAAATACATTTACTCATGTGTCAAAAAAACCTACATACAAGAAACATATACTACGTTCACACTTGGCTTCAAGCAGATATTTGCTGTGTTGACCGATTTATGAATGACAATTGTAGCGACTTTGATTACAGTTTTGACCAGCAAAACGTAGGAACAAAAAAGAATAAAAGAACGTTTCCACGAATGAGAACTGAATAAAAATAATCAATGCTGAGAAAAGATTATAATTGGTTTGACATAAAATTGCTTTGATAAAATGTTACTGTATGCGATGACAACTAATAAGACATAAATGGAATCAACACCATCAATTTAAGTACAATACATATAATATTTAGTCAATACCAACATATTTATGCGATGTTATAATACATTTACCATGTAATTCGCCATAGTTTCGTTTGAGTTCAGTTGGCGTATATCGAATTCGCCTCGAGGAGCGAAAGAGTGTCACAATGTTGTTGTTATAGCACACTTCTATCTCCAAAGTCGATGTATCTTTCGTAAATCGATTCCATGTATGTATGTATTTGTGTGAAAATGTAAGTGTTCGTTTATCAATTTAAGTCAGCAGTACGCAACCATCACAGCGGCAAATAGTGACATCTACTGAATTATTAGAAAAGCCAATCTTAGTATTTTAGCACTAATAAATATAAAAAATTACACATTATTTTTATTTATTTTTTTTTCGAGAAGAAACACAATATTATACAAATCGAAATGCAGTTTCTCAAAAAAATCGTTACACTGAAAAACTTCTTATATTGTTATGGCTTGAAGATATTTTTGGGAGAGTTATTTTATTGAATTTCAAACTTTGAAAAAATCAACAATATATTCGTTCAACTTATTAATCAAGAAATTCATAGCCTTTTATAATTTTTCAATTAGTCAAAAGGATATTAAAACGCATTGTATCAATCAAAAATGGACTTTGTGTGTCGATAGAGTCGGACCGTTTAATTTCAATTAAGGTGCTGCTTAATCCGAACATTTTGTTTGAATGTAAACTTTATCGGGTAAAAACAATTCGATTTTAGTAGTATTCTTAAGTTTTTTTCGCTTCTGATTTAACGAATGTACATCAATTGATTACCTAAGAGTTAATCAGAAGAAAAGAATGGAAAAAATGGAAATTAATCAATGCGTAATG